GCGAGCGTTGGTGTGCGTTTTGGCGGAAAAATGATGAGGTTGTGTGCATTTTTACCACCTAGCCCTGTACATTTCAGTGTCTTTAACATGTAGTATATACAGCATGTGCGTAAAACGGACACACTGTACCTTTTTCACCCATGTTGTCAAAAACAACGTATAAGTGTGCGTGTGTGTGTGGTCAGTTTTGCAACGGACTGAGGCTCGAAGAGTCAAAGGACAACTGCTAAATGTCGGTTTCCCGATCGCGGTAGAGGTAGAGAAAATAGCTGAGCTCATTTCGAAACCTCATAGATAGCGCGCAAGCCTTCTTTCTTTGTCCAAGTTCCTCCATCTGAAGAATGCCAACTTCTCCGGTTTTTGCGTTCTTTAAACCATCAACCCTGGCTACGAACGGCTACGCGTATGGAACGGCTGTGATGCCGTTGGCTTCCGAAGCTACCGTGTCGGTATCGAGGGTTTCAAGCGGCCGCTGGGCCAGCCTGGATGCCCACGAGTGCGATCGGATGACAAGCGAGTTGCAACAGCGGGCGGTGACTGAAGAAGAAGCGCTCAGCGGCATTGGAACATACGTGGGTAGCTGCGTGTGCATCGCTAGAACGCCAGTGGAGGCGCCCAAGCGCTGGGAATACGGTGCTGTGACCGGGTATACGTGGTTTCAAGATCAGCTTGCCGGAGAATTATTCGTATGTTTCGGTGGGGAGAGCAGCTCGCTGCCCTTTCACCCCACCGAACTGCAAGAACTCGCGATCCCCAGCTACGCGTTGCGCCCCTGTTATCATGTCCCAGTCGTAGACGTAATGCCAGCGGAAATGCGTCAGCGTCACTCTGATGCACTAGATCACTTCAGTGGATCGGGTTTGCGCGCATCGCGTAATTCAGCTTCGATTCTCAGGCGACTCTCTGCTCCTGAAATTGTAAAAGCCAGCGCATTCCGTTGTATGATCTATCGGCGGCAAAGGTCGTGCTTGTCTCTATTAAATATGCGTTGGATTTCTCCTATTACCACGATGGTAGGCGCCAAGCTCCCCAAAATCTCCATCTTGGAGAACGCATCTTCGACGAGCCAGCTACAGCGGATCCTGTTACCCCAGTTCCAACTGAACGAGGCCAGGCTTCTGTTACGGAAGGTCCATCCTTCCTACCCGGCCAGCTCAGCGACTCTGATGATAGTGATGGTGACGATGGTATGGTGCAGGCGCCGCCTCCGCTGCCAGGTCAGCCAACGCGCAGGCGTGAGCGTGTTCTGGCCAATCCCGCCGATGAAGACGTATCATCATTGAAACGACTTCGCACCTCGTATGCGGGATATGTGTCCATGCTACGCAGTATAGATCACGTCATTGCCTTACGGGAATCGCCGATGGTATCTGGCAGCGGCTCCAGTCTCGTTTCCTATAGTGGCTCAACGTCAACCAAGGCGCAGTACAACCCGTCGGCTCTTCAACGTGTGATTCACAGCCAGCTCGTAAACGGTACGTACGCTTCAATGGAGCCGCAGTTGTTGCTTGAAACTCTACAGATCCAGTACGACTCGTTTGCGTTCTTGCCACACCCAGCCATTCTTCGTGCCTGTTACAGCTGGGATTTTGGTCTCCGTGGTCTCTCACTGATGCATTTCGTTCCGCTTGGTGGAGGAAGTAAGGGCATTTCATCGCACAATATGACCGATTTCTCTAAATCTGCACTACTTCCGACTGCAGCGGTGCCTGCGAACCTCAGCACAGTGATCGATGCGTTGGATGGTTTGGCCGGCTTAGTAGCCACTGTATACTTGCCCTATGTCGGCGATCTGGTGGTTACAGCCAGGAAGTTTGTTGTTTCGCTAAAATCACGAGAAGGTTTTACTAGTGAGGCCGCATTGAACGAATTGGTTTATTGGCTCAATGGTCGGTTCGAGCGTGTTCGTGGTTTTCTCGCATTGAAGGAGCTTGAAAGTACTCAACAAGTACGGGAGAATTCTCGTTCGCAGACCCTTCGTTTGTCCGTACGATGCAAATTATCACCGAAGTGCGCATGTTGGCACTCCAGTCCCTCAATACGTCTCAAGTGGTTCACCAGTACGTTCCCGGCGCTACACCCGGAGCCACACGCAACCCAAAAGGGAGGTCCCCGCCACAAGCTCGACCACCTGTATCACAGGAGGTGCAAGACGCGTTGCCGACGATGAATGGACAAAGCCTCTGCATGCGATTTATCTCAAATTTGCCTTGCCCAAGCAGGCAAAAAGGTTGTTTCTCGCGCAAACGCGGCCACTTTGCTCCAGCTACTCTCCCCGCAATCGTGTTTGACTTCATCCAGAAACACTATGGCGGTCTTCGCAAAGATTGCGCATCGATCTCACGTGAGCCGTCCAATGAGTGAAGACGCCAGGGTGAGCAACTTGGCTTGTTCTCACCCAGGCGGAAAAGAAAGCCACCGGATTCAGCTGATCCGGCATTCACAGCAACAGTGGATACGCACGAGTCTGATGAACACAAAACAGACTGCGCAAATTCTCGTAGCTCTACCATCAGCTTGAGTCCATGTTGTCCACATATTCAGACCAGAGGAGGGGTAGTAAGCCCTATTGGTACAGAAGATATCCTGCCCCATGACTACAGGTCAGGGTGGGTCGGGGCCACAGGGCCGTCACATCGCTGCGCCGGCGAACAGATACCTTCGCATGTGGATGCTCGTGCTTGTACTGGTAGTCATTACGGAATTGACAATTCTGCCTCTCAAATACATACCAACGACGAAAACGTTGAGCAAAGCAGGAAGGTCGCCAAGTATAGTGTTCAGGGGGAGGATGATGTGGTTCAAGACCTTGCCCGATTTATTCAGCGCGAACAGAGAAGGTATTCCCAGACATTGTTAGCTCGGAAACGCCTGCTCTCGCTCCATCGAGACGAAACAGAGCTTGGAATTGGAGCTGCCTTATCGAACGTCAGTCTGGCATCACCATGTTCATCAGGGTCTTTTGCACTAGTTGATGGCGTACCTCAGTATCGGATTGATTCTGATAAGCAGCGTATCTACTCGCAATGTATCCGGACGACAGGTATGCAGCTTCCAGAGTTTGTTCGGCTACTGCGTGGCGAGTCAAAACGGGATTCTCGTCCAAACAAGGCCCTGGAGATCCTACCAAATGCACCAGCGTGGTCAACATACAGATATCGCCATGAGTGGGAAGATATTGTTCGTAATGGTGTCCGTCCACAGTGGAGGAAACCTTTTCCTGTGCAGGAATGCCCCCCTGAAAATCATGCCTCAGCTAAGTCAGCGTTGAATGCACTAGTCAAGCAAATTCGGAAAGGCCAAGACACAGGACAGTATCTAGTCCTCGACATTGAGCTGCTATCTTCCCTCGAGAACATTACCTGCAGTCCATTCGGAGCTGTGCAAAGAGGTACTGCACCTCTCTCAGAAGATGCTCGTGTCATACACGACCTCTCCTATCCCGAAGGTGGTTCTGTGAATGAAAATACTGTTGATAATGACTCCGTGGTAGTCACTTACGACGGTCCCCAAGAACTGGCGGCTCGCATTTTAGAGGTGGAGACACACTTTCCTGGTCTTACCAAATTGATGTCAGGCGACGTCGCAGGTGCGTTTCGGCATATTGCTGTTAATGCGGATCATGTTGGACGCTTTGCCGGCACCATTCCCGAATTGGGGATTTTAGTCATTGACTTGTGCTGTCCTTTCGGCTGGACACTGTCACCACAGCACTACTGGACTGCAGGCGCAGGTATCAGTCACTTGTATTCGTGTTCGTCTCCTAAATGGCAACTCCAACCGAAGCATGGTGCACACAACTTTGACGCCAAGACATGGTGCGATGATCACAATCTCATTGAACCGAATATTGGCTCGCGGCTGCCCGAAGCAAACCTTGCCCTCCGTGCTGCAATGACAGCAGTACTTGGCCCTGAAGCAATTAATGAGGACAAATTCTCCGTGTGGGAGAGCGAAGGGAAAATGCTTGGCCTCATGTGGAATATTCCCCTGTTAACTCTCTCGATGCCACGTGAAAAAGTACTAAAAGCGTTGTCACGTATTGATGAGATGCTGAGTCGTACATCCACAAGACAACAAAAGATTCGTCAGCTGCTAGGCAGCCTCCGACACGTAGTGACGTGCATACCGTCGGCAAAACCATTCTTTCAACAAATATCGGCCTTGCTTTGGGGGTCAAAGAGGTACGGCATGATCGCTGTCACACCAGCCGCACGCGATGATCTACTATTGTTCCAATTGATACTTCTTACCGCAGAACTAAATTCAGTGCCCTTGTCTCGCTTTGTCAGTACACAACCCATCGACCACGAGATTTTCATGGACGCAAGTGATTTTGGACTGTGCGCTATCTTTCCAGCTCGTCAGGAATATATTCAAGTACAATTTAACCAGCACGAGCTTGACGAGATAGCGCAGTTCCGCGCGAGTGGTGCAGGCGATTACAACATCAATCTACGGGAGCTGATGAGCACGGTATTCGCGGCTCTCGTCTGGGGTCAGCACTGGACAGGTACCACATCGAACAAACTGTGTCACGTGCGCTTCTGGATCGATAACACCTCAGCTATTTCGTGGCACAATCGTCGTGCTAGTCGAAATCAGGAGGCTCAAAGGCTTTTGCGAATTCTCAGCCTGTTGGAAGTGAAACATTCATTCTTTGCGTCGGCAGATCACATCGCTGGAGTAGAAAATATAATGGCCGATGCGGGCTCAAGGGTGTGGCAATCAACGCAGCATCGTTTACTTTTCACTAACCTAACGTCTGGATGGTCACAGGCCGAGCTTCCGAGCAGCTCAAGGAATCTCTCGCAAGTTTGGGAGCTATTCTGCGGGCAGGTGCCCTTGCCGATTCATCTCAGAAACACTACAAACGATACTGGAAGCAATGGACGACGTGGTGCGATTGGATGACATACCCCACGTGGCTGTCGCAGAATGATCTCACCACTAATGCTGCACAACTGGGAGCCTTTGCCGTGTTTCTTTGGCGATTTGGTATGAATAAAGCAGGAGCCGGCAACACGTATTCGACTATCTGTGCCAAACTGTGCGCCGTCAGATGGTATCATCGAAACAACGTGGGGTACGACCCGGGTGTCGATGCTAGCCATGCCATTCTACTCAGAGGTATCCGTCGATTTACATCCCCAGTAACAAAGCAGTACCCGCTTTCGGTTTAAATTCTTCGCGTGATCGGAAACAACTTGGACCTCAAGCACGCGCGCGATCGCTTGCTTTGGGGTGGGCTACTACTTGGTTATTTTTTTCTGCTTCAAAGATCTGAATATCTGTATATTGGACATCAACATCATGCCTACGTGCTGAAGCTAAGTGATATCACATTTCACAGCGCCGAAGGGCAGCATTGTAAGCCGCGACACGCTGAACGCGTCGGAATTCGACTCCTCGGAGCCAAGAACAATCAGTATGGCCGTGAAGAGGTCAGATTCCATGAAAAGTCCGGGGATACCAGTATCTGCCCGGTAGTAGCGGCTCGGTGGATTCGCAAAGGTGCCAGAGCGTTCGGGACGTCACCAGAGCAGCCGGCGTTGTCGACCGGTGTCGGCACGGGTATTTCGGCAAAAGAACTTGCAAGTACAATCAAGACGGCAGCTCGTCAATGCGGTGCAAACCCTGATCGATACTCGACCCACTCGGTTCGAATTGGGGGCGCGACAGCGCTTCTGAATGCTGGTGCAGACCGCCTCGCCATAAAAGTCATGGGTCGGTGGTTGTCAAGTGCGTTTGAAGAATATCCGGTTCTTTCTGCTCAAGGATCAGCTGGGTTATCGAAACTAATGTGCTAAGTGGGGTGATTGTCGTTCGGTGCTCGACAAAGGTTCGCCCGTGAGTGAGCAGCACCGGTTTGAGATTGGGGTGCCGCCACTCCTCACCCGCGGACGAAGAAAATATGTATATTTTCCCCACTCGCACACGATTGTTGGAAATGGTCAGTTTTGCAACGGACTGAGGCTCGAAGAGTCAAAGGACAACTGCTAAATGTCGGTTTCCCGATCGCGGTAGAGGTAGAGAGAATAGCTGAGCTCATTTCGAAACCTCATAGATAGCGCGCAACCCGCCACTCCTCACCCGCGGACGAAGAAAATATGTATATTTTCCCACTCGCACACGATTGTTGGAAATGTGTGTGTGGGGATTATTGCCTCCCTCGTCGATAATAATGCATTCCAGCATTTTTGCAAAGTGAGGAAGCATTTTTCAATAGTTTAATATATAACACTTTTAAAAGCAATATCTACAGCTTTGATGAGCACATCAATTTGGTTTGTCGGCTACCGATACTGTATGAATTGAATAGCATTAATTCCCAAATCCAGTATATTACGGTCGGGCGAGCGTGGGGGTTGACAAATCATCTTAATCTTCCAACGCTCTTCAAGCCCAGCGGCAACAACTTCTCCGTGGTCTTCGTCCACGTGGGGGCCACCGTTGTCCTGTTGGACGTGAATCATCGCCGTTCTTTGGCGTAGACAGCAGCTAATAAATGTCAGAAAAAAAGTTTAAAAAAAATCAAACGTACCCGGCCATTTCTCGCGAATCGCAGGAAAAATATTTTCCTTCAGCATCTGCACGTACACTTTTTTATGATTTGTGCTCCGGCGGGTCGATTTTTGGAATTCTTCTTTGCCTTGGTGTGCTCTATCATAGGGCATATTCCAGTTTTCCACCAAATGATTTTTCTTGGAAAATCATTTGCTACCGCTGCAAGAAACACGACTTCACCAATGTCACGATCGGTAAAATAGAGATTCATCAGCCGCCAAATAGCATCGAGAAGATGCCTCGTACATGTCAAACCATTTTTCATCCATATAAACAGCATCATACATATCATCAAAGCGATACAAAAGTCCTAAGCAAATATTATAAAATAAAGCAAACTATAAAATAGTTCAATATTAATAATAACAAATTTCTTTCCAATAGGACGCTTCACTTGAGAAAGAGCCCATGCCAACCTCTGAAGCTTGTGGTGACTTGTTAGTGTAGGATTGACTCTTGATATAAAGCGGCGTAGAACTTTGGTCTTGAGGTAGCGCGTAGAGTCGACCGCGGGATACCGCAGGCCATTTCTAGAGAGCGCAGAGTCTGGCGTGGCAAAGCGGCACCGCAACCACACGCTCGCCTACTTCGTTGGTAGTAAGACGGGTCTTCCGAGGAGGGTACGACAAGCGGGGCAGCGCTCGTAGGTCCCAGATGAGTTCAATGGCGGCCCGGCTTAGCAGAAAGAGCTTCTTGGCACACTCGATAGTGCCATATCGGAGGCAACCCGCCTTACTCAGTGTAGTCAGAACACCACCACCGCAAAGCGTGTCTTCGGCGATATGTCCTTGGCTCCGCGCGCTCGAACCATCAAGGAAATTCAGTTTTGCTCTGTTCTAGTGAACAACCTTTTAGTACTACATTCAACCGTTTTACTATGGATGTATACACCGCTTGCTCTAAAACTTTTAACCAATCAACTCACTTTAACATTTTTGTGTGCTACACAAAAAATCCCTATAAACTGGTGGGACAGGGAAGTACACTAGATTCGGCATGGAGACCTTTGCGATGCCCTCACGAATGATGTATTCCGGCTAGAAGAATGTGGTTAGCAAACTCGGACGGGTCTCCGCCCAATTGAATGTGATAATCTACTGACCGCGGTCCTCGAAGTGCAAAGGAGGAGCTCCTTCTCGACGCTGCCCAACGTGTTGAGATTCTTCTTGCCACTCCCGCCGCCGTGGGAACTTCCGACTTTCGTAATGGCGAGATATTTGTTGTGGGAAGTCGGTGGTTGCGAGCCCTGCGTTTGAATATGTGGAGAGTCTATTAGACTGTGCCTGCAGTGCCTACTAAGCTTGCCAAGCCTTGACGGTCTTGAATTCAAGGAGACCTCGTGGAGTCAACGGTGGAGTCCATGTTGGGACTCCCACCATGGGAGTAATTTGACCACGGTAGTGCTCTAATTGTGGTGTTTGCTGTGTCTTCAAATATGGGCAGATCTTCCATCGTCTTGGTAGCAATTCTGGTCTATGCAGCTAATGAAAACGTTCGACTGGGTTGATATTCCTAAACTTGTTCGAACATAAATGTGTTTAAACAGACCGGCAAACCCTGCTTGCAGCGGATAGTCGCGGAGACGCCGGCTTGTAAAACACACTTCTTTGTGAGATAGCATCAAGTATCGAAGCTCGCCCTTACATACAGCTCCTATCGCGATACGTGGACCGGACAAGAAAAAAACAATTCGTTTTTTTATTCCTTTACTGGACAAAACAATTAATAAGACACTTAGCAATCTGGAGCTCCAACAACTCCATTAAAAAAGGCTGTCATTTCACGATGGGCTGGACGAAGGGCTCGAAGGACACCCCCGAAGCCACGCGCGAGTTTATTGCGCTGCTCCTCGCTGAGCGTGCGCGTAACGGACAGCTAAAGCGTGGAACAGCCGTGGCTGCTGCAGCCAAGTATGGGTGTTGCCGGCAGCGGGCTCAAGCTTTAGTCAAGGAGGATGTACAACAGCCAGTCTAAGGTAAGGCCTGGTCGACCGCCTTCCAGCAGCATGTCCGCCATCGTGGCTGAGCGCCTTGCACCCATCTCGGCCACTCCCTGCCGTAGGTGCCAAACGCTGAGGGCCTTAGCCCACTCAGCCGAGGTACCGAAGACTACCCTGCTCCGTTACATCAAGAAAATCCTCGTTAAGTGCGCTACTGTCCGCGTCAAGCCGACGCTGACCGAAGAATACAAGAGGAGACGCTTGGCATACGCGCTGGCACATGTCAAGCGATCTATAGGTAAAACTACGCGTGATAATATGATTTTTAATGTTAATGTTTTCATATGCAGGCGGGAGATCCTATCAATTGCATCACATGTTTGATTATGTTCATATTGATGATAATTGGTTTAATATGTACAAGGTCAAAAACACATTCTACTTGACTGTGAACGAGACTGCTCCCTACACTTCCTCACCTAGCAAGCGCTACATCGGAATGGTTATGTTTTGGTCGCTCTGGCCCGACCGCGCAACCGAAAGTGCGGTTTTGATAAAAAAATGGTATCTGGCCGATAGTTCGTGGTGCTACGACGTCTACCAATCGACTCAAAGTCGCAGTGTGTCAACATGACTCGCCCAGTGTATAGTAAGATGTTTAAGGAGAAGGTTTTGCCAGCAATTTGACCAGTACGTAGGTTATTTCTTTTTTTTACTTTTCTAACATGTTACAACTTGGCTTTTAATATAGTACTCTGTTTTAGATTATTTGACCAGATCGTGTTTCAAATTACTTGAATATTTTATTTAGCTGGTGGGATATACACAATTAGTACTTTCTGTAACTAAACAAACCTCGTCGGAACCCGAAGCAAGAAGCATATTACTTGACCACGACGCCACACCAAACAAACACCCAGCTCCAAAAATGGCACGCATTTGTGCATATGCTACACCTTGGCGAATATCACTAAAATCCATGCCTTCACCCTGGTTGTGCTCAGACGACGTTTTTTGCGGTGTCCCGGGTCACACCGCCAAACGTTTCATTTATCCTGGGCTTTTTTTTAACCAATCAACAATCAGAGTGCATAAACTACTAGTTTTTGATTGGTAGCTCTTAACTGTCCGTAAATGGTGAACGTCCGTTTGCACATAAGTTTAACGATAATCTGGTCCATCCTCGACTTGAACAGTCGTTTTGTGAGCCATGCTGCGGTCGATCCGGAGCATGACACGAGGAAGACCGTTGTGTCCGCCAGCGGGAAGGCAAGACAGTGAGGAAAAGTGATGTGTCTGATGCTGCTGCAGAGGATAGATTGCAGAGCAAAGACGAAGGTATGGCTCTATGTCTAGCTCAATCATCTTTGCACGATAAATCTGTTTTATAGACCCAGCAGCGAGCCGTAAATGCGTGCCCGCATATGTGTTAGAGCGCACCAGTAGCGGCGGACTACATGCCTCTCTGGCGTAATATACATAAAGGCACGAGCTAATAAACGCCCTTCAGTGAAACGCAGGTATTTCGATGGCTGAAGCGGCATTAGGTCAGCTTTTTGTAGGTTTTTCGTGGGTTGAGATGGCCAACTTTGAGGATCTATCATCGCGTGCACTCGTGTGCGGTTAGAGCGGCGTATAAACCTTTTGTTTTAGAGCCACTCACAAAAAAATGTTGCTATGAAACTAGTACCCAGTGGTACGCCTGGAATATAGGCTAAGCTTCAGATTAGAGTAGCTGTTCAAAATGTGGGTCAAATTGTGCACACGAGACAAAGAATAACACGAGTGGGATTTGAACCCACGCCTGAAGACTGGTGCCTAAAACCAGCGCCTTAGACTTGGCCATCGTGTCTTATATTGATATCGTGTATTACATACACTTTGCATTCACAAATAATACTTCACCTGCGCTGTGGAATGAGTCGAGTAAAGTGCAAACAGGGGTTTGAAACGTGGTTTATTAGACCTTCCGCAACCACTTTTGAGCTGAGTTTCAGCGCACACCAAGACGAATTGCTGTCTTTAATGTCAGACTAGAATTTTTTTAGTGCTTTCGCAAAGTGCTTGATTTCAGTCTCAGCACCACCATGATGGTGTCCAGTATCGACCAAGAGCGTCGAGAGTAGTGTCTAGGAGGCAACAGATCTTCTGCTGACTGACTACCTGAAAGCTTTAGCGCCTGCTCCTTCTTCTTCATGTGTACTTATTCTAACGTACTCGCCCAAATAAAAGCCCTCTTTCAAGTAGGCTCTCGCTATACTAAAAAGAAGGACCAGTACAAAGTCCTTGATTATCTTTTTCAGT